GCTCTCACAGGTATTACGGATTGAACTGTGTGTCCCCAAAAGATATGTTATGGTCCTAACACCCAAGGCTGCAGAATGACTGCTTGGAAATAGAGTCTTTAAAAAGGTAATTAAGTTTAAGTAAGGTCACTATGGTGGACCCTAATTCAGTATGAACAGTAGCCTCATAAAATGGGGGAAATGGGGACCCCCACATTGGGAATGTGACCTGAAGACCCAAGGGAGAAGAAGGACCCAGGAAGATGGAGGGTGGCATGCACCTATAAGTCAAGAAGAGCCAAAGGCAGCCCTTGGCATCAGAAGGTATCAGAGGCAAGGGAGGATTCCCCCAGAACTTTCAGAAGGAGTAAGGCCCTGGTGGCAGCTTCAGAACTGTGGGACAATTATCTAATGTCCTCTCAAGTCCTCCAGTTTGAATTCCTTTATTATGGCAGCCCTAGGAAACGGACACCCTAGCATGCAGTAAGCATGTGCTGGAGGATCAAAGAAAGTTCTAAGGATATGCACCAGGCAAGGGTTGTTTACTGGCAAGAAATGGAGGCTTATGAAGTTATGGGCTGGTTCAAGGTGAGGGAGGCTGGGAGGGGACAGAGCAGGGATGGGAACTCAGGTCTCCTGACTCCCCACTTATCTTCCACCTCCCCTGGTGCACCTCTCCTGGGAGGCTGACCTCCCTGAGTTTCAGGTTTTGATTATCTGCCTGACCACAAATGTTACTTGTCTAAAGAGAAAGCCAAGCCCGAGAATGGCTGGAATTGCACACAGACTCCTTTGTGAGGTGCACATCTCCTAGAAAGTCTTCAGGTGGCTTAATGATTATGTTTGTGGTCAATTTTCTTTCTTTTCTTATGGGGCACTTGAAATTGAACTCAGGGGCACTAGACCACTGAGCCACATCCCCAGCCCCATTTTGTACTTTACTTAGAGACAGGGTCTTCCTGAGTTGCTTAGCACCTCACTGTTGCTGAGGCTGGCTTTGAACTCATGATTCTCCCGCCTCAGCCTCCTGAGCCACTGGGATTACAGGAGTGCACCACTGCACCCAACCTTTCTTATTTTTTAATGCTTATTTTTTAAAAAAATAGCTTTGTCCTTATTTATTTTATTTTTATGTGTTGCTGGGGATCGAACCCAATGCCTCACATGTGCTAGGCAAGTGCTCTACCACTGAGCCACCACTCCAGCCCTGTTTGTGGTCATTTTTCTGGTAGGTTAAGGGTTTCTTAAATCAGTGCAAATTCATAAGCCCCTCAGAGAACATCTTACATCCCACCAGCCCTGCAGGGTGATGAACAGCTCCACAGGGCTGGTTGGGGCCACGCTGCCTGGAAATCTCAGGTCACACCTCCCATCGCCCTCTTCAAGAACTTGGGAACATGGCTTTTAATAATGACAAGATGTTCGTCATACGATCCAGAGGGGAGCACTTGCCTGTCTACACACCTCCTCTCCTCCAGAAACTGTGAGACCCTCAGATACATTTTTCTCAGGCAACTCCATGATACAAGCATCAGTACAATTCCCATGGTACCAGTGAAGGAGCTGGGCTCAGACGATGGTTTAAAGTTTGCAAGGTCACACATCTCCTAAGTAGCACAGGCAAGATTTGCATCTGGGTTTAGGAATCCCCCTAAACCCTGGTAACATGGTTGCAAGGTTTGGATTTGGGTCTACAAAACCCTCTAAACCCCAGTGACATTGTTGCTAGGGGCAACTGAAGGAGGCAGCGTCAGCATCCTCAGAGTGAGGACATTTCCTCTGTTCCCTTCTGCTCTTGAACACGCCTCTATATATAGCTCCTCCTCTGCTTTCTACCTTTCCACCCGGAGTTCACCCCACTCCCTTTTTGTGCAGAGAGGTCATTGGTTAGACAACTTCCCAAGAAGCACACCAACTGCAAACCTGGTAGGTGGGCACCCTGCCCAGGCCTGGTGGGCAGATATTTCTGCTTCCCTCATTCATTCTTGCTACCTCCTGGTACCTGACCATTTGTCCCCAATCAGCCCTAATTAGGGAAGGAAAAGGAGCTACTCTCTGAACGATTCGTAGGTGGGCGTTTGGCTGCCTGCCTTTTGTTTTTTCAATTCCTGTCTACCCACTTATTCTGAAGGCATCTGACAGGGATGCCACTCTGGTGAAGGTGGCAGGAAGTTTCTTGCAGAGGAAGCAACTGCCTATCTAAAAAAAGCTCTTTGAAAAACTGCTCGACTGGGAGCTGAGCGGCAGCAGAGAATGTGTTATGGCTTCTGTTATTTATTTATATTCCCACCTACTTCCAGAAAGGATTTGAAGTCACTTACAATAAAAACAAAGTGAGATACGCGTGGAGATAGTAAGTAGAATTACAGAGAAAGGCCGGCTGAGATAACGGTTTCCAAGGCAGGGAGTGGGCAGTGCGCATCACCAAGGAGGCTGTGCCTCCCAGTGGTTAGGGTCTAGCCTCTGAGATGAACTTGTATTTCTATTTTCTCTGCTTGATTGAAAAAGGTGCAGAAATGTCCCTCTGAAGTTCTTGTGGTTTAGCTATGAGGTGTCCCCCAAAAGTTCATGTGTGAGACAAAGCAGGACTGGGGGGCATATGTTTCTGCTTCCCTCAGAGATGAGATGATTAGATTATGAAAGATGTAACCTAACCGTGGATTAATCCACTTGAATGGATTAACTGAGTGGTAACTATAGGCAGGTAGGGTTTGTTGGGAGGAAGTAGGTCACTGGGGACATGCCTTTAGAGTTTCTATTTTGTCCCTGGCACCTTGTGAGCACTCTCTCTCCCTCTCTCGCTCTCTCTCTCTCGCTCTCTCTCTCTCTCTCCCTCTCTCTCCTTCCTGGCTGTCTAGTCCTGAGCCACTTTCTTCTGCTATGTCGTCCTGCCATGATATTCCGCCTCATCTTTGGACCAGTGGAGTTGGCCGACCATGGACTGAATCTCTGAAACTGAGCTGAAAATAAACTTTTCCTCCTCTAGGTTGTTCTTGTCAGGCACTTTGGACACAACGACACAAAGCTGACTAAAACAAAAGTGCTTAGGATGATAGGCCCCACTTAACAAGATGGCATCTCTCCTCCAAAGTGGGGTGAATAGGAAAAGGCCCAAGAGGCCCAGTGGACAGTGCCTCTGCCTTGGGCCAGAAGCCAACCCTGAAACTAGGAATTGAATGCAAATAGCTTATGTGGGAGGAGATCCCAGGAAACCCAGTAGGAATCGTGGGGAAGGGTTGAGGGCAGATGGAAGTCAGTTCAGATCATCACTGGGCATCGGGGCTTGTGCTTACTGTGGAACTCTGGGAGATGGCGGAGAGAGTGCCTGAGAGCCATCCTGCCCACATGGCAAGGAGGCCGGGGTGCTCACCCACCGGCTTCTGTTGACCTGTGGTTGGGGGCAGGCTGCTCCCAGGAGTATCAGTGCCCCACACGTGAGCCACCCTAGAGCCCAGGCCACACCAGGGTGTGTTCTGGGGGGACATGGCCTGTGTCTTGCCCCTCTGCAGATCAGAGTGGGGCCCACTTCACCTGGTTGCCACCTAAATCAGGGCCTGGGGGACTGACTAGGCTGCTCTAAGAGGAGGAGGCAAGAAGGCAGGAGGATTCTGTATTTCCATCCACTGGGTCTCACCTTATGACCCGGCACAAAGCCTCCTCTTTTAGGAAGACCTCCCCACTCGGGTCTCTTTTCCTTTGCTGGAGAGAAAGGTTCGATGTATATCTGAAAAACAAGTACTTCCTCCTGACCAGATGCCTCCAAGGGTTCCTGCTTCCATTGTACCTTGTCAGCTGATCTCTTGGTCTCAACTGTGTGTAGGAGTTGAGCGATTCACTCCTGGAATTGAACTGTTCGGGTTCAAATCTCGCCCCTACCACCTGACTCTGAGGCCATAAGGACAGTGGGGATGTCTGACCAGAGGCGTCAGTTTTCCCCACTATTTACAGATGATACACAGACTCCTCGAGGGGCGTTCAAGATCCTGTAGGGCATCCTCCACCCTCACTCCCACTTCCCACTCAGCACGGCCCTGCCATTCCATGGTGCTCCACTGCCTTAGCTTCTCCATTTCAAGAGGTCCAAACATCATTCTAGTTATGTCCACTCATTTGTCAAATATCTACAGGTGCCTACGATGTGCTACACAAACCAAGAATACCCACCATGAATACAACACGTTCCAAAACGCCTTGGAAAAAATCCAAGGACCTCAGACATCTCCACCAGCACATCCTAGACCAGCCAACTAAGTCCTCCCACGTTGTCATCTCACCTCCCCCTCGCCCCCTTCTTGATTTCGTAACTGTAGTGAAAGACCTTTCTCATAGAATAGTAGGGAGTACAGGGGACCACGCACCCAGGGGGGCTCCTCGACTCTACTCTTCCAGGCCCCCACTTGGGTTTATACACACATATCCGCTCCCCAAAGCCAGACCCTGGCCCAGGAAATGGCCCCAGTCATCTTGGTTGGATTTTACAGCTGGATTGGTGTTTTTAAAAGACTGATCCCATACCCACTCTGGGCTCCCTCTGGGTTCTGTATAGGTGTTTACATGACACCCGTAATTCTTTGCTGGCTTGATTTATTTCCTTCACTAGACCAAAGTCCCTGAGAGCAGTGACAGATAGTTCATGTAGCCCATGCCTGGCATACAAGTGGGCATTTAGGAAATGTTCAGTCAATGCTTTTTCTTTTTTTGTAGTGCCAGGGACTGAACCTGGGGTCTTCTGCGTGCTAGGCAAGCTCTCTCCCACACCTATTACTGCTTCTTCTTCTTCTTCTTCTTCTTTTTTTTCCATTACTGCTTCTTGAGCAAAATGCATGCATGACTAATGGAACTGGGGAAATACCCATCTACTCATAACTGTCTGAAGGCCACCACCTGCAAAGATATGGCCACTGTGCAGCCCCATTCGGCTGACATGCAAGTCCTGGGATGTTCCTACCAGGCCCAGGGCAGAGTGTGTGTGAGGGTCTGTGCCTACACTCCCAGCGGCTCGGGGCAGGAGCGGCTCTTACCGTGGTGTATTTACCCAGCTGGCAGAGTGAGGGGAAGGTTTCCTGGTGAGCTTTCCGGATCTTCTCTGTGAGGTCGTCCAGCTCCGCTGTCATCTCATAGTTCTCTGTACATTCCTGCTTCGAGGGCTCCTTCTTCTTCTTGTTCCTGTCATTCCTGACAGCTGGAAATGAGAGACAGGGCGAATCAGAGATCACTTCAATGCTGGGCCTGGGCTGCCTGGGCCAGGAGGTTTCATCAGATACTTGGAATGGGAACAGAAGGGAGAGGTGGGATACGGACGTCCCTGGGGAAAGGGGGCTGCGCAGCCGGGGGCCTGGACAGACAGCGAGGACTGTACATCTGTGTGTGCACCCGCCAGCTCTTAGGGAAAGCTCAGGACACCTGGAAAGCTGAGCCTTGGCTAGTGTGAGAGAACTTTCTGTGTGGACTGAATTCCTTGAAGCAAAAAAGATTCTTCCAAGAGTGCTGCTCCCAGCTCCAGAGGGGACGCCCTGAGAGACATCACGAGGGCCCCTCTCTTGCCAGGGAGTAAAGTCCTTGAACGAAGCCCCTGTGGCTTCACAGCTGGTATTCCCCAGCCCAGCAGCTGGGTGTCTTTGCTTTCCAGCTTTCTGACCGAATAATCGCTTTTGAAGAGATGTGTCTTAAGAACGATAAAATGATGGTTTTTATCTTCTCATGTTTTTCTGCTTGCAACATTTTCTTTAATAACATTATAAATAACAAAAGACAATATGGTATTTTTTTTTTTTGGTGGAGGGGACCAGGGATTGAACCCAGGGGCACTCAACCACTGAGCTTCATCCCCAGCCTTATTGTGTATTTTTTTTTTTAGAGACAGGGTCTCCCTGAGTTGCCTAGTGCCTCATGGTTGCCAAGACTGGCTTAGAACTCACGATCCACCTGCCTCAGCCTCCTGAGCCGCTGGGATTACAGGCGTGCACCACTGTGCCCGGCTTAATGTTATTTGAAAGGAGTATGGAACGCTCAGCCTGTAAACCCATCCATTCGTTCACCTGTTCATTCACAGATGCTCCATTCCAGGGCCCACCTGGCCTGCTGCACCTCAGCATGGCCGCCTCAGCTCCTGCACAGACGGGCTCAGGCCCAGGTGCTGTGGAAACCTGTGCTTCTTCCCACAGCTCAGGCCTCTCAGATGACGGCAAATCAGAGTGTAACTCAACGCCCAGCCCCTGGCTAGGATCTCCTGGGGAAGGAAACTGAAACCCAGGGAGGCAGACAGGTGAAACCAGAACATGCAATCCCCTCCGGGGAGTCCATGTTCCCTGGGGACCCAGGGGTGCCAGGCTGGATTCTGCCTGGCTGTGTCTGCCACCACTGTGACCTGGGAATCTATGCTGCAAAATGACCCAGGGCATAATCTGATCTGCCCTAAGAGGATTTGGTCCTGGGTTGCCCACGCAAGGACATGCCAGCCATTTGAGAACTAGCAGGCCTCTGGGTCCACGCTGGGAGAGTAGAAGAAAGACAGGGAGAGAGGAGAAAAGGTAAAAGGAAAGAGGGAGTTGGAAAGGAAGACAGAGAAAAGGGGAGGTGAATGGCACTGGGACATTAGAGCCCAGGAGGAAGGGCAGTCAGGGAGGAGAGGGCTTGGCTTGGATATCTTGAAGACTTTCCTGGCAGCTTTATCTCCAGAATTGCATTTAATCCCCTTATCAGGCAAGCAATTTTAAACCCATTCTGCTGGTAAAGAAACTGAGTCCAAGGAGGCTGAGGATTGTGTGCATGTTTATGTGACCAATAAGTCACTTGGACTGACTTATTCCCAAGGAAGGGACCTGTTTGAGGAGAACATGGTTCCTAGTATTGTGTTTCCCCTAAGACCCTGAAACAACACTATCCTAGTCACTGGAGGGAGGGGGAGGACTGGGTACTCGGTCTCAACTGTACTCTTTTCCAGTGACCAGACCCTTCCCAAGACAGAAGCTTCCTAAGCTGATGGGTGAAATCTTCCAAATACGTGGCTTTGGCAGCTACTTTGGTGTAGGAGGCAGGGCAAAAGGGCGTCATGTAGGATTTCAAGGCAGGAAGAAAATAAAGAATATAGTAGGCAAAAAAGATACAGTGAGAGGGCACGGGCAGCTTGTGGTGGCAGAGATGCCCCCGTGGTGCTTCTAGGGAGGGGTTGGGGGGTAAGGCTGAGGCTATGCCACAATCAAATCTAAGCTACAAAGATATTTTGCAAGCAGAGTCCCAAGGAAAAGTTTGGCAGTTCCTCCCAAAGTGACGCAGTTATCGTATTGAACCAGTAATTCCTAGGTTCGACCCAAGAGAACTAAAAATAGATGTCCACGTCAAACTTGAACACGACTGTTCACAGCGACATTGTGTATAATAGCTCAAAAGTGGAAGCAACCCAAATGTCCATCAAACCATCAGTGGATAAACAAAATGTGGTCTAGCTATAAAATGGAGCATTATCTGTCATCAAAAAGGAACGAAGTATTGACACGTGTTACAACACAGACGGACCCGGAAAATATTGTGCTGAGTGGAGGAGCCAATCACAAGGGGCCACATGTTGTATGATTCTATTTTTAGAATCAGAATAAGCAAATCCACAGACCCGATAGTGGACTCGTGCTCACCAAGGGCTGGGATGGGGGACAGGGATAAGGAGTGAGCACTGATGGGTATGGGGTTTCTCTTTGAGGAGATGAAAATGTTTCAGCCTTTGAAGGTCATATAATTTTGTGAATACACTACACCGAATTGGATACTTTAAAATGATCAGTGTTCCCAGTGGCTTGGGAGGCTGAGGCAGGAGGACTGTGAGTTCAAAGCCAGCCTCAGCAAAAGTGAGGTGCTGAGCAATTCAGTGAGACCCTGTCTCTAAATAAAATACAAAATAGGGCTGGGGATTGGCCATCAAACAAGCACCCTGACATTACCCACAGCCCCAGCCCAGTAGGTGTGTGGGCCTGTGTTCCAGCAGACTCCGCCTCACTCCCCCACTCCCAAAAACTTACTTGAATAAACATACCTCTACCTTGCAGGGAGGGGACACTCTGAGCTGTCACCATGGGGCATCTGAACCAAACCAAAAGCAAGAGGCCAGGTCATGTAGAAAGGGGGCCTTGGTGAGGTGCAGTGGGGCACAAACTCCCTGGGTTGTGTGGTGACAGCATCCGCCATTTGCAAGACATCAGCTGCAAAGCTGGATCACCTTCTTCTGTAATTTAGGGTCCAAATGGGAGCATCCTCAGCAGCTGGTTGCCAGAGACCAGTGCATAACCTCAGGTCACCTTCCAGACCCCTCTCATCCTCCATAAGCTGTATCCCACTATGGCTGCCTGCCTGTCTAAGGACTCCCGGGACCCCAGAATCTCTCCCACACTGTAACTTGAAGCTATGCTCCATGAAGCTTCCTAAGCTGATGGGAAAATCTTCCAAACATGTGGCTTTGGCCGCTACTTTGCTCCATGGTTTTAAACTATGGTGGAAGACAGATGTGGCATTTGGACCAGGCATGGGGGTGACTACCAAGGAACATCAGAATCAAGGATGCCGTGCACAGGAAGCCATGAGGCCCTGGAGACGGGGGCTCTGACCAGCTGTTGGGGATGGTTGGCCCCTCTGAGGCCTCCAGGTCAGGAGCTCCTGGGGCGGGGAAGGGCAAGGGCTTTCCACCTTGTTGGCCACCAGTGAGGGTCAGGGGTGACGCAGGTGCCGGAGGGGAAGCCCGAGATCTGCAGCAAGTGCCAGCTCCACGGCTCACCACCTGGGGTGGAGCCCAGAGGCGTCACCACCTCTCCCAGGCCCTCGTCCCTGATGGCAGATGCACCCCCCCTGAGCTGCTCGGGTGTGGTGCTAGAGGAGACAGAGGAAGTGTCCAGGAAAGGTTTATGAGGGCTGGTTATGCAGGAAGAACTTACAGCCCTTCCTTGTAGGAATGGGTGGGCCTGATCACAGAGAACCTGGGGGGTTAGCGTGAGGCCCGTGGCATCAGGGGCGGGGGAGACTCGCGGTAAGAAATGATGCCCACAGCACTAGGAACCAGCCCGGGTGTCCATCAGTGGATGAGCGGATAGAGAAAATGTGGTGTATAGACACACATGAAGTTTTCTCCAGCCATAAAGAAATATGAAATTAGGTCATTTGCTGGACAATGGATGGAATGAGACCATCATGTTAAGCGAAATAAGCCAAACTCAGGACAAGGGTCACATGTGTTCTCTCAGATGTGGAAGCTGGAGAGAAAAAGAGAAAAGGGGGTGGGGGAGTGGAACTTATGAAAGTCAGCTCTAGAGGCCTCAGAGGGGCCAACCATCCCCAACAGAAAGAAGAAAGTGACCGGGGGAGGGAGGGGAAGAGGGAGAGGAGAAATATTGTTATATATTGTGGGCTTGTATGAATATGTAACAATAAACCCCCATCATTACGTGCAGCTATCATGCACCAATAAAAAGTGGAAAGTGGAAAAAATAAAAAAAGGAAATGATGCTTTCAGAGGAGCTCTCTGTAGTGACATCAAATGAGCAGATGGACTCCTCTGTTCCTCCACGGTTCTATTTGTTCATACAATGGATGTTTATTGAGCACCTACTGCTGCAGGGGTGAAATAACAAGCAACACAGGATGGCTCCAGCTGCCGGGGAGCTCTTTTATGGCGGGAGACAGACATTACTCATAAAGTACTATTGGTGCCACTATTATTACATATCCTGTGATTCACAACCTGGAGTATTTTTTTATTAGGACATTGAAAGTGTTCATTATAAGTGTTGTAGGTTCTGCCAGGCACTTACTGAAACCCTCTGTTCATCCTAAGTCATTCACTCCCATGACAACCTGAAAGGGCAGGTGTCACCCATAGGCCTTGTTATGCAGATGGCAAGTGGGCACACAGAAAGGTGAGGAACCTTCCCAAAGGCACGCATTCTGTAAGTGATACAGCTGGTTGTGCCCTCAGCAGATGGCTCCAGGGTGCCTGCTCTTTTAAAAAATTTTTTTTTTAGATGCATGATAGACCCAATACCTTTATTTTTATGTGATCCTGAGGATCCAACCCTGTGCCTCCCGCATACTAGGTGAGCGCTCTGCATTCTGAGCCCCAGTGCAGCCCATGGGATCCTTCTCTTACCCACTGTGTCTGCTACCCAGGGTGTAGTGAGTGCTGGGAGGGAGGCTACAGGGAGC